CGCATTTTCTAGGGTTTTCCAGGTCCAAAATCGCAAAAACACTGCCCGGACGTGATGCAACGTCCGTTTTGTGTCCGTTTTCATTCCAACCTTGCGTGGGGGCCTACGTTGGCCGTGCCCACACGTACGCACACTTTGGTGCAGTTGCATGCATGCGATCACGTAACCCCAGTGCAACCAGCTACTTGTCGGTCTGCCGGGGAGGGGGTTCCCAACTACGGTTTTTTTTCTACTCCGTCAAACCTCGCGACACTTTTTCCACAAGTTGCCATTACCATCCACAGCACCCACGGCAACTCGCGTATTTTTTCGACGCTCTACGCATTTTCTGGGGTTTTTAAGGAAAAAGTACCCTACACCGATGTCCGAACGTGACGCGACGTGTCTTTCCTCTCTGTTTTTGTCCATATCGTGCGTGCAGGACGTACTCTCATACTAAGCGTTTTTAGCAAGTATTTATGTACAAACGCATCATCAAATCAAAACTCTCGAATGAAATGGACAAAATTAATTTCACTCAAATTTCATTCAACATAGATAAAATATTTTACATACTCGGGCTAACTCAATGATTAAAAGTTCACCACATAAAGTCTACTACTTAGGCTTACAACGACATAACCAAATTAAATAAAAAACACAAAAAAACTACTCGTCGTCGCTATTGACGAGGTCAATGACGGCCGGGCCGTCGCCGCCGTCATCGTCGCTGCTGGACCGGTTCGCGAGGTCGTCCCAGTCTATCGGATCGTCGTCGGAATCCTCCTCCGCCGCCGCCGCCGGCGCTTGCTGCCACTCCTGCTGCCACTCCGGCGGCACCTGCTACCACTCCGGCGCCACCATCGCCGCCTGCTGCGCCGCCTCGGCCGCCTGGATTGCGTCCGCAATCTCGGCGGCCTCCATCGCCTCCGCCGCCGCCGCTGCAGCCTCCGACGCCCGTAGGGCGACGTGGTACCCCGGCGTGTCATCCGGATCACCGTCCTCGCGGAGGATGACCTGCTCCGGCGGCAACTCGATCCCCGGCGGCAAGGGAGGGGCGGCCGGCGCGGGCGCCCGTGCCGGGTACACACCGTGGCCGCCGCCACGTCTGCGGCGATATTGCGGTGGAGGCGGTGCGCGAAGACGGCCGCTGCGGCCCGTCAGATCCGGGGTCTCGCCGGCCGCGGCAAGGCGGAAGGCCGCCATCACCTCCCAATAGTCCTTCCCGCACCAAAACCGCTTTCGGCCTTCGATGTTGTGCCGACCGCCGCTGTGGTTGCGGAGCTCCTCCTCCGTCGCGCCGGGACCCAACGTCGCAAAGCCCTCCGCGTCGATCTTCCAGTTGCGCGGTAGACGGCAGCCCGGCGGCACGGGGAGGCAGTAGTGGTGGAGCTCCTCCGTCTCCGGCCCTCCGATGCTCGTCGGCCATGCGCCGGGGGCGTCGTCGGCGGCGCCGCCACCGGTGCTGCTGCTGCCGCCGAAGAAAGCCATCGGGTGCGGGAGGTGGCGTGGAGGTGGAGGGTGCGGGAGGTGCGGGAGGTGGCGGAAGAAAGCCATCGGGCCGGTGCCGTTTTATAGCGGGGGAAGGGAGGGAGGCGGGCAGGCGGCGCCGTGGTTATTAACGCCGGCGCGTTAATGCGCGTGGCAGGCGAGGCGGCGTTTGACCGTCGGGCGAAGCGAACAGCGCGTCGGGAGGTGGCAACATCGGCGTGGCAGCCAAGGAGCCGACAGCGACGGCAGGCGTCAGCGGTCGCGCGGCAGGCGAGGAGGCGGCACCGGTGGCGTCCGGCAGGCGGCGCGGCAGGCGAGGAGGCGGCAGCGGTGGCGTCCGGCAGGCGCGGCTGCAGGCGGCAGCGGCGGCGCGGCACGCAAGGAGGCACGCGCGTGGAACCGCCTGCGTGCATGCGCGCCTCGGGCGCCGTGATTGGCGGCCGACACGCCACACGACGGGTGTGGGATTGCGTGGGGCCGGCGGGCGTGGGGGTGGGGCCGGCGCGGCGCCACCGACAACGCGTTGACTGCGAGCGGCCGCTTTAATTTTTTTCCCTCCCGGGCGGGCGGCCGGCCTGTATTCATATACGTATACCTCCGTCTGTTTTTTTTTTTGCGAGCGGGCGGGCCGGCGGGGCAATCTTATGCCCATCCTACCCTTTGTTATGAAGGGGTATTGGGCAATCTCAGCCCTTTTTGTGTTTACGGGTTGTCTACCGAAGCAGAAGTGATACAAGAATCACGCGTGTATCTTGAGCCGATAACAGCCAGAGAGGCTGCCCGTCGAATGAACCCGTAGACGCGGTCCAGCCATCAAGTTCAGTACCCCGCCGGGACGCCGCCTTTCCTGGGATCGCTCACGGCGGTCAGGTCCCCGCGGCCCTCGACGTTGTGCACCACGAGCTGGCTTATGGTTCCCCCGGCGAGGAGCTTCAGGGCGTGGCCCTTCTTCAGCAGGTCGCCTCTCGTCGCTGCGTCCAGCAAGAATACGTCGCCGGTCACCGTCGTCCAGTTCTCGTACTGAACCACATTCGGGATCAGCTGCAACCATTGTCCAATACCAAGCAACCAAAGCATCAGAGTTGTCGGATGGGATGGTCGTTCGAGCTTGCATTTGTGCATATATAGTTGATGAAACGAAGAGAACAAGAAATAGTTTCAATCAAGAATGGGACCTGGTGATAAACTCGCGGCGCCATGACAGAGGACAACGGATCCATGTTCTTGGCGAAGTGGTTGAGGAGCACCTCGATCGTCCCGGCAGGGATCATGCTCCCGCCGCTGGCGCCCACCGCGGCCTTCAGCTTCCCATCCTACCACAGATACAGCACGAAAACAATCAGAACCTTCAGCCTCGTCGGAAAATTTACAAGACGCAGTTCACATCTTCCATTGCGGCCTACTAATCTAACCTTGAGAACGATGGTTGGACACATGGAGGAGAGGGGGCGCTTCAGAGGGGCCACGAAGTTGTTGGGGGCCGGCGGTGGAGTGTTCGCGGTGGTGTTCGCCGGCATGGAGAAGTCGTCCATCTCATTGTTGAGCAGAACGCCTGTGCTCGGGGACAGGATCAGGGATCCGAAGTAGGCGTTGACGGTGCTCGTCATCGAGACGGCGTTCCTCTCGCCGTCCACGATGGATAGGTGGCTGGTCCCGTGGTCCTGAAGGATGTTCCACCTGAAATATGCAAGTTGGTCAGGCAGGATCAATTGGTAGGGCAGCTCGCACTGAATCAGGAAAGATGGCACTGCTCCATGATGTAGTAGTGCACTGAGAAGTTCAGGTTCATGGTATGATCCAAGATGGTCAGGTGATTTTGGGGCATATCATCCACGAAGGTGATGAGAACATGGTTTTGGGATGCAGGTTTCTTTACCTTCCTCCATAATGTTGAGGTGAAAATGTCATATTATCATAAATCGTTCTCTTCAGCTCAGCAGCAAACTTGGGGGAGAGCATATCAGAGACAACCGCACCAACATCAACAAAGTCGGGATCTCCAAGATTCATCTTCACTGCCATGTAATGTTTCAAGGACTCAACAAGGCGATGAATCCCAAGAGAGCCAGAAATACCAGAAACTCCATACTGAGCCAGGATGTTCAAAACCTGTAAAGTAAAAAGGGATATCAAGAAATAACATGCACACAGAAATTGTCGCCGTCGGAACGTTAGATTTTTCTTCCAAAAGCGTGATGACACCACTTGACCTGAATGCAACCCTTGTGCTTATCTCTCACCGAAAGAGTACTTGTCTCGTGTTGAATAAATATCTCATTAAAGAACTTCACATCCTTCAAATGTGAAGTCTTCGCATCTCTATCAATCTTATCCAGAACCAATTTTCTTAAGCACGATGCATATCTTTTCAATGGAACTTTTGACAAGAAATAGCTACTCTAGCTGACTATTCAGAAAAAAGAAGAAGCAGCCAATATCTCTGTCCATCGTCAAAACAACATATAGCAAAAGTGCATGAAATTCCAACCAAAAAATTTCTGTATACTGAAATGAAAAACAGTGAACAAAAATTTGCACATATAGAAAGCTTACCAGCATGAGGCCGGCACCACCGGCAGAAGGAGGAGGCATGCTGAGCACGGTAAGCCCCATGACATTCTGCGAGAGCGGCCGGCGCACCTTGACCTGATAATGCTCCAGGTCCTCCTTGGTCATGATCCCTCCGGCCTCCTTCACGTCCTTGACCAGCAGGTCCGCCACCGGGCCACTGTAGAACGCGGCCGGCCCTCTCTCCGCGACGGCCTCGAGCGTCCACGCGAGCTTGCCGTTGCGGCACACGTCGCCGACCTTGAGGATCGCCCCGTTGGAGGCGTACACGGCCCGCATCCCGGCGTTGCCGAGGATGCCAGCTTCGGTCGCTTTCATCTGCATGTGGAGGTACGGCGACACCGTGAACGCCCAGGCGAGCTTCGCGGCCGGCATCACCAGCTCCTTCCATGGGAGCTTGCCGTGGCGCTTCCACGCCTCGTAGAGGCCCGCGATTTCACCCGGGACTCCGATGGAGAGCGCGCCCCTCGCTTTCAGCGTGTCATTGCCGCCGTACATGTCCTGAATGCACAATTGAGATCGCTAGTGTTCATAATTCACCTTTTTTTTACGTACAGGAGCAATTGTTCTTGCCAAATCCCAAACGGTAAATGGGCAAGAAGACTCTTAGATTCAAGACCTGGCCATATAATCAACTTCAAGACTCGAGAGTAGCAAACTAGCAATGTGTTTTTCAGTTTTATGTTTTCAAATGAGACAGGTTTAGATGTGTGCATCAGGCAGATGTTACCCATTATGATCTGTATCCACTTTATGCTACATTTTAAGCTAATGAAAGTATCATTTATCGAAAAAATTAGAGAACAAGTCCTGGCATTTCGTGTAGACTGGTAACGGGTTAGATAGAATGTAACGATCAAGTGGGGCGACAGCAAGCTAACAACTGGCAGGCATATGGAATTGCATATGGAATTTTGAGGTACTTTTACCATATATAGGAATTTGTCCAAGTTAACCCTTTTAAGCAGACCCCAAGCATAATAGGCAACAGCCCAACCAATTATTTTTCGAGTGTCCACACCCACAATTTTATTTCTGGCTAGACATATGGAATGGCGGATCATGTTCCTGTACATTACCGCACTAGTGCGCTGACAAAAAAGTAGCGGCCGAAGCACTGAACGGGACGTGGTTGGGCGCATCGTAGCATCAGTTTGCACGCCGGCCGGCCGGACGCGGATTCGTTTTGGCTTTCCCAGTCCGGGCTGCAACTGGCGGCCGAGAGAAGCAAGTGGGCGCGTGATAGCGTGGGGCGCCTCCTCTCCACTGGTTAAACACACGGACGCGCGGCATTGAACATGGCGCCACTATGTAGCTTAGCCTCCACGCGTATGGCCCTCGGCCACGCCGATGGGTCGCCGTCCTCCCTTTGTTCTTCCCGTCACTCCAAGGTATACTATCTTAGTACTACAACCCAACACAAGCAACAGCAAGTGTTTCGACCAATACTGAATACTTACTACAGTACTAGGGAGTAGGAATCGAGCAGCTAGAGTGGGTGCGCTGTGTCTCATCTCTCCCATGCATGGCATGGCAATGGCATGGCATGTCCATGTTCTTTGCCAGTTGTGACGGAATAATAGTATAAGGGATCCAGAAAGGCACACCAACCATGTGAATTAACCACCGAGTAGGTGTGTGTATGGTACTACGGTTATATGTATTTTTAGTTTGATTGATACTCCATCGGCTTGACGATATATATTTTTTTCTAGGATGGGTTTGGTGGTATTGTTGTCAGTAAGTTTGGAAATTTTGGTGTGGATGCTTGAGAGGCGCCCAACACAGCGCAAAATGTTTCGGCTCAATCAGCTTAACCATGCATGCAAATTTGCATTGTACTAGATTACGAGTAGTCTGCACCGTAAGTATGGTCAAGTCTCAAATCATATGATTGAACGAATAAAGTAAGGAAATGCACAAGCATCCACAAGTCTTTGAGTAGACCAAGGTAAGAGACGACTCTTCCAATCACGCACCTTTGTAGCCGCCAGCGGCGCGGTCTCACGGGAGTCGTAAACGACGGCCGTGCCGTCGGCGAGCCTGACGAGCATGAACGCGCCCCCGCCGATGCCGCTGGACGCGGGGCTGACCACGCCGAGGCAGAGCGACGTGGCGACTGCGGCGTCCACGGCGGTGCCGCCACAGCGGAGCGCGTCACGCCCGATCTTGGAGCACCGCTCGTCGTCGGCCGCCACGGCGCCGCGCGGCGAGGTCACAACCTCCCTGCGTGCAGCCTCCGCCGCCGCCCCGGCGGCAAGGAAGAGCAGGACGAGCGCGGCCGCCGACCATCGTAGGCGTCCAGCTGCTCGAGGTGAGAAAGAAAAAGGAGTCGCTTAGCGCACAGTGATACAATTTGCGCGCACGATGGAGGGAAGAGAGTGAACAGAGTCTAACGGGCCATCAGCAGAGGCGCGGGAGGGAGAGGACCGCGTGGAAGAATCTGACCGGCGAGTTGGACGAGTCGATCGAGTATGAGAAGGCCACACGGCAAGGTTTTATATACAGGTTTTGTTTAAAAACAAGTTTTTTAACACAGTACAAAGCAGCCGCTTACATGTACTCCCTTCGTTTTTATTTACGACGTATATTAGAGTTGACTAAAATCAAACTTTCTAAATTTTGACCAACTTTATAAAAAAAAATTATCATAACAAATCTACATAACATGAAAATACATTTAATAATGAATCTAATGGTATTGATTAGTTTTAGTTTTAGATACATCTTTTTTTATTCATTTTGGTGACAAATATTTTCGGACGGAGAAGTATATGTTAATATTTTTGTCTATAAACTCAAAGCTTACAAAGTTTTACTTTGACTAAAGCAAATATGCGGAGTAAATAAAAACGGAGAGAATACACGCATACACTCATCCCTATGAAAACATAGGGGCATACCATACCCCTATGTGTTAGAATAAATCCGAGGCATACCGTTGATCATCCAAGGTCAAGCAATCACACAAGCACGACACCGAGATTTGTTAACGAGGTTCACCGATATGGCTACATCTCCGAGGCCTGACTATGGGCGCTCCTCTCCATTGACACCGTCACAATACCGCACCCGGTCGCCCTGGACACCGGCACATGCCGCCGGCTTCCCCTGCGTTCCGGTGATATTATGTTGGCATAGGTTACATCGTGTGTCTAGCCCCGCTATATATGAGAGGCCTAGGATACAAGTGTCCTACTAGAACACGACTTCATACCCTGTAAACACAATACAACTACAAGTCCAACTGTAATCTACCTTGTACACAATATTCGACACAACTCTAACAAACTCCACCTTGCCGAATATTCTCCACCATCCTCGATTTGTCCATGCATCAAACTTCCATGTACATTGGACTTGAGCTTATCCCATGAGTGCTGCTGCTACTTCAAAGACTCCATGTGACTCCACCTGTAACTTGTAGTCCCTTCTTTTCTTGACCACAGTCAACACTCGAGCAAAATTAAGTTCCTCTTTACTCTAGTCTGTGCTCCCAACTTCCAGAGTATCCGTCCAACGCCATCGCACACTGATCACTGACCTGCGTGAAAGTGAACAACTCACATATTGGGTGTCACACATAAGAGTTATCTGAACTCAACATCACCGCTCCTTTCTTGACCGCCTGACTGAAACTTGAAGGAATTTTACCATTGCTTGTAGTCACCCCGAGTCAAATCACAATTGTCTCACCACACGTATGACCACCAGAGCCCTGGCCCGTCTCCATGCCCCGTGCATACCGCACACCTCGCCGCTATTTCCGCGTTGAGCCTCTACTGTCCTGGTCGAGTCTCAAGGGTCGCGAAACCACACCACTCAACCCCACTGTAGAGTACCACCGATCATCACCGACCGATGACGAGTTTCACGCTTCCATCAGACCACGGGGCTCCAGTCCGAACTGTTGGGGAACGTAGTAATTTCAAAAAAAAATTCCTACGCACACGCAAGATCATGGTGATGATATAGCAACGAGGGGAGAGTGTTGTCTATGTACCCTTGTAGACCGAAGTGGAAGCGTTGACGCAATGTAGAGGAAGTAGTCATACGTCCTCCGGTTCAGCCGATCCAAGTACCGTTACTCCGGCACCTCCGAGTTCTTGACACGCGTACAGCTCGATGACGCACCCTCGATCTCCGATCCAGCAGAGGCGCCGAGGGAGAGTTCCGTCAGCACGATGGCGTGGTGACGATCTTGATGTTCTCCTGTTGCAGGGCTTCGCCTAAGCACCGCTACAATATGACCGAGGTGTAATATCATGGAGGGGGGCACCGCACACGGCTAAGGAACGATCAATGATCAACTTGTGTGTTCTAGGGTGCCCCCCTACCCCCGTATATAAAGGAGGGAGGGAGGAGGTGGCCGGCCCTAGGGGGGCGCGCCATGAGGAGGGGGAAACCTACTCCAAGTAGGTTTCCCTCTCTTTTCCTTATCTTATTTGGATGGGGAAGGAAAGAGTACTAGTATTAGGAAGTAGTACTAGTAGTAGTAATAGGAAGAGGGGGAAGGAGAAAGGAAAGGGGGGGCCGGCCCCCCTCCCCAATTCGGATTGGGCTTGGGGGGGGGCGCCCCCCTCCCTTGCTCCTTCTCTCTTCCTCCTACATGGGCCCAATAAGGCCCATATACCTCCCGGGGGGTTCCGGTAACCTCCCGGGGCTCCAAACTTCTCCGGAACCTTTCCGG